TTCCTGCTGGCACTCCTCTGTGGCTCTGGAGCAGAGCATTGAGTTCATCAGGGACTCTCTGATTTCCATTCGAGACGAGAAGGACGGGCTCAACCGGTGCCTTCCTGACGGCCAGACCCTCCCCCCAGGCAGGACTAAGAAGCCTATTGCTGGCGTGATCGGCCCGGGCTCCAGCTCCGTAGCCATTCAAGTGCAGAACCTGCTCCAGCTCTTCAACATCCCCCAGATCGCATATTCCGCCACAAGCATCGACCTGAGTGACAAAACTTTGTACAAATACTTCCTGAGGGTTGTCCCTTCTGACACTTTGCAGGCAAGGGCGATGCTTGACATAGTGAAGCGTTACAATTGGACCTATGTCTCCGCGGTCCACACGGAAGGTAGGCATTGCATTTGGGGAAGAAAAGTGCACAGAAAGCCAGGGCATTGCTTGATGTGCGCTTGGGATCACAGTGTTGTTCCTGTTTATTTCTAGCACTGTGGGAAGAGCCTTTACCCTTCTCCGTACATGCCCATCCAGGCTTTGCCTTGCATCCTCATCCTCCTATAATTATAGTGTAGGAAAACTGTCCCATGGTGTTTCCGGGGGTAGCAGAAACCAAAAAGACACCAAACTCTCCATGAACAGTGCCCAGTTGTAGTTTTTGGACTTACATATTTGTTTGCCCTGATATTCTGAGTTTGTGTTTATTTGCCCAAGATGTTATACTACCCTTAAGTGACTGGCTATGATATTCCAAGCTTGATAGACTAATCCAATGTGAGCAGTTAGAAAAACAAAAACCAAAAACCAAAAAGCAAACTGCTGTCCCCTAAACTGGACTTGAAAGCTTTATTTTGTCATGAACAGCTGAAGGTGCTTCTTTGTTCTGGTGTGCCCCCTTCTTACACATTTATAACTTACCTGTAAATATTGGATTAATGCAGTCATCCCTCAATATATCAGAAACTTATGTTTTAAATTTTGGGGTGCCTTAGATACAAAGGAAAAGTAAATAATTTAAATCGTTTATTATTTTTTCCTACTTAATATGTTAAAATTGTCCATATGCCCTCACTCTCCCCAAGAATTATCTTGTCTTATGAGCAATAGCACTGATGACCTCTTGGATTTGAATTTTGGTTTCTAGTTTGTTTGTTTGTTTGCTTTCTAACACAATGACTTTGCTTATTAGAATTTAAAGTTAGACAAATTATAAATTACTAATAAAATGATAGTAGATATCATGTTTAAAATAGCTTTTAAAAGTGAAATAGATTTTACCTGAGGTTAAAAACTTTGATTTATACAGAGTCTTACAGACATGCATTCTCAAATAATTTATTATATATAGATTTTCTTTACTCTTCTCATCTTACCCTATACTGATTGTTGGATAAAATGAAACTTTTGAGTCATCTACTTTTAACCCCCTCAGGTTTATAGAGAAATTGAGACCCAGGTTACGAATTAATGTCCAGGACAATTCACGTGTATATGCTGGCATATGGAAGAGAATCTTGAAGGTATTGCTGCATTTATATTTCTTAATATCAGATTATTAACAGAAAGGCCATAGGTATGACTTCATGTTCTTTTAACAGTTACACAGTATTCAGTTACTGGTGTGAAGTCTGATAGAGAAATTAAGAAGCATTCTTACCGAAATGGTGATATGGTTATGTTAATGAAAACTGATGCTTTAACTTTAAAGGGAGCAGAGTTTTTAGGACAAACAAAAATTGTGTAGAAATTTCAGACTTTGATTTTGGAAGAAAAAAAAAAACTTCCTGTTGCAGTGTTGTGAGTTCTAAAAACTGAATCCTATTTCTGAATCTTGATTTTTCATAGTGAACTGCCTACCTCTTTTTCAACAAAATCACATATTAATCTTTTAAGACACAGATTTAAGTTCAGATTTTAACTCCTTACATTTTTATGGTTAATGTTAATTTCCTACATTTTTTTTGTTTAGTATAGTTTCCTCCAGTGCTTAGATGGACCATCCTGAAAGCCCAAGTTAAAAATGTGTTAATTATCAGCATTAGAGCGATCTCTCTAAAAGGGAATGGCAAAAAGTAGATTGAATGTGATTTATTTAATTATTTAATAGTTCTCCCTCAAATGAGCTAGGTAATTGATTATAGATATTAGAAGTGTAAATACCTCCTTCAAGAAGAAGTAATACATCATTTTACAAGGTAGTTTTATTTTCTATATTTTATTATGTCATTTTATTTTGGGGGTGGAGAGGAGTGGAGAAAAGATTCCCCCTCCCCCCTTCAATATGTTTTCCAGTTGCATCCTTTTGCTAAAAATAGTTGCTAATAGTGCTTTCTGACAACTAGCGTTGTCTCTTTGGAAAATTAACTGGACTTGTGTTTACAAATTATGTTGAGGAAGGGCTGATATTAAAATTCCACACTTGTGTTAGTTTGGATTTTACTTTGTTACCTTTCTGCCTTCTGACTTGGGTTGTGTGTCAAGGATAATGTCCGATAGCATTATAATAGTTGATTACAGACTAGATTGTGTTCACAGAACAGCATCAGAGCTAACTTTGGTGTCTATTTTATTACCAAGAAATGATGCCATTCACCTTGCCTTTTATATATATCTTATTTCTTCTCAAAGAGAATTTGTTTCCTCTCTTATTAGATATAATTCTGTGGAAACTAAATTGCTTTTATTTTCTTCTGTCTGCAAAGAAATATAACAGTGTCCTTTGTATAAGCTCCAACTGAAAATTTATTTTTTCTGAGGTTCTGCCCTCCTGCTTCTCAGGGACCCATAGTTGTACTGGCCTGCAGACACTTTCTTGCATCATCTAGTAATTTTCCTGTCTTCAGACTGACGGGGTCACCTACTGGTGACAGTTCCCTGTCAAAAAGCAGCTAAGACCACATATCAGTGTTGTCTCTGCCATCTGGGCACTATTCAGGAAGGAAGCTAGATTGTCTGGATATTAGCAATTTGGAGTTTAGAAATTCTGGGACCTCCGGTGACCTTCACCTCTCCTTTCCAAATTAGCTATTCTCTAGTCAGCTTATCATCACAATTTCTTTTATTAGAAGTTAGCCTAGTATAGTTAACATCAAAAGTAATAGGTGACTAGATTAGCATACCTTCATTTCTATGGTTAATATTGCTTGACTTTAAAACCATATATGGAGCATCCTATTCTTTCAAAAGTTTTATATCCCTTTATTATTTCACTTTATATTGAAGTTAAGCTTGGAGGTGTTTTCTGGTTTTGTTTTAATCAGTTAGAATTCAGTTGTTATATTCTTTTACATAATTTTCAATCTTCTATCATGTCATTTGTGCCACACTTGTCCTCTTGTCATAACTGTTAGTTTACCTGACATAAAAAGAGGATCAGTTCACATGAAGTTACCAGCAACAGGCTCTCCAGAAGATTTTTCAGGATTATTTCCTGAGAGGAATATTGAATTAGGATCTGTCAAAGGGAGGGTACTGAAGCAACAGAGCCTTGTCCACAAAGAAAAATCGAGTGCACTTTGGAGCAAGCTGCTCACCTGGCATGTGTCTTTAAATATGCTAATCATAGAATACAAAAATAGCCTACTTCTGTGAAGAATATCTCGGCCAAGGACATTGTATTCCATCCTTCTGATAAAATGTAGATTCCCCATCAAAAAACCAAATTTATCATTTCAAAAAATTGTAGGAAACAATACTTAAAAAATAATTTTAGTTGATTAAATCAAAGCTTTGGATGAGTCCAAAAAGAATATTCTTTGAGTTTGTAGCTTCAAAAAGTTAAGTTTTGGGGTTGAATACATTTTCATTTGTTTTAAACCTTTCTCTCTTAATATTTTGTCTCATAGTGTCAGAGGAGTATGTGATAAGCGATTTAGTGATGCTGCTGTACGCTTTTGTTTACAGTTATGTTTTCATTGTGGTGCACCTTTTTTTTTGGCCATTGGCTTACACTTTACATGAGATTGGCCTTCTTTGGCTTCTCTTCAAAATCTGATCTTTTTCTTTTTAGAAGCTTTGCTCTATTTGATATAAAACACTCTAAAAGTCTAAAGGCATCAGAGGAAAATCCTCCTAAATCATAAGAACATCAGTTAACTATTTCTTTAGCTAATGCAATTACATATAAGAATTTTATTTCTACTAAATATCATATTTTTCTATATATGCACTGGCAACTTTCTTTATACCTTTCTTATCTCGATTCCAAACCATTTTCACAGTAAGTCACCTTAATAAATGTTCTGTTTTATCACAATATAGGGAGTAGAATGTCTTGAAAGGTTATTTAGGCCAACCAGTTAAAGATGCTTAAAACACCATTATTATCTTTGCCCAGAAGTCGTTCCCATATGCTCTAAATTTCCTAATTGTGATTAGGATTTCTAAGGAGAGTTGGAGAATATACAACTTAAATTCAGAGGCAGAATTTCACCTATTGGTCAGTTTTTCTATTTAATGACCTGACTCCCTGAAGTTTCTATCAACTACTGGGAATCATCCAAGCAATTCAAATTTCTCTTCCATGTGATATTTATTATCAATGAACTCTCTCTCTTTTATGCCATACCTCATCAGTTCCTTCACCCATATATTCTAATTTTTAGTTCCCTTATAATCATAGATAACTCAAGTAGGTCTTAGATAAGTTATTATCCAAAAGTCTTTTAAAAAATATGAGCTGATACTAGGCTACATCTCCTTTCTTTTATGCTTGGTAATTTTTAATATTGTTATTATTATTATTCTAAGAGTAAGACTTTGTTTTTTGTTTCCTTTTAAATGTAAAATATTTAGCTTAAATCTGCCTTATCAATAAGTTGTGGGACTTTGATTATTTAATTCATCTTAGCATCCCAGCTTTGTGTCCTCAAGATTTGACTATATATGATAAAACTGAGTAAGAGAGAGTCAAGTGTAAATTCCCATAGCCCATTACCAGCAAACTACTAATCTGGGTGGTCACTCAGCCTGTTATGAATTTCCTTGACAGTAAGTTTTTTCATTACATACTATACCACTTTATAGATAAATAAATAGCATAAAAGTAGAAAAATCATCATAGCACATTTACAATTCTAATAAAAAATTTACTATCCCAAAAAATGTTTATAAGAAATTTGAAGACTAAGTTACTAAGTTACTAAGTTCTTTACACTCTAAAGGGATTACAGTTTGAACACATGTAAAATGAGTAAAAACAAATTATTACAGTATAGACATTTAGAAACATGAGTGTATATGTGTTTAGGGAACACTGAAAGAAAATATTGGTGAGTGTAATTAGCTAGAAAAAAGCTGGAGAAAAGGGAATTTTGATTAGTTTTTTAATATGGCATTTGTAAAAGATAAAAGCAGTAGTAAGAATGTCCCCATGGGAAATAAAATAAGCAGGTC